GTCCTCCGTGACGGATTGGGTGACACCCGCCGGCTAGCTTCCACCCGACTATCGCATACTATACTACACTATACAATGATATACTCCACGACACTGAATCATACTATATTATATTATACATACTATATTATACTTTATTCTAATATATTATATTATATAAAACTATATTCTATTATGGAGACCGGTGGGCTAGAGGGTATGGGAGCTGGAAGGCTCAGGGACCTGGAAGAGTTAGGTGTCATTAAGAAATGCTTCCAAGGGTGGCATTTTCACCTCACCCTTCCTGCAAGATCCCCCAGCCCAGGAAGAGTATCATGGACATCGTGTCAACAGTCGGAAATCTTGGGCGGGTGGGGGGGGGGGGGGCCGGGCTTGCTTGTTTGGGCCTCTGCCGGACTTGACCCCCAAACCCACCCACATACCCACATAAACCCAAACCTGTGAACTTCACGCCAAACACCCCAACATCTCCTGGAACCCTAAACCACCCCCCCCTCCCTCCACGGCACCCACCCTGAACCCTAAACCCTAAACCCTAAACCCATAAACCCATAAACCCATAAACCCAAAACCCTAAACCCTAAACCCACCCACAACCAAAGCAAAGCACAAACTCCACGGTCGCCGGCCTCGAGGAACCGTCAACTCGAACTGGCGGCTTCGGCTCGAGGAGCGGCCCCTAATTCGTCGGAGTTAGCATCAGGGGGACCCTTTGGGAATGCCTTTTAAGCGAGCCATAAGGTAGGGCTCAGAAGGGTCCCCTTTGAGGGGTCTCCCTAATACTACACAGGAATTAGGCTTTAGGGCTTTAGGTCTCTGCAGTTTTGAGGTTTTGGGAATTGAGGGTACCTGAGGTTCGGTTTTTGGAGGTGCCGGTTCCTGTGTTCAACCCTACCCCGCAGAATTAGGGCTTTGGATGCATGCAGACCCTAAGCCCTAACACCGGTTTGGTGATGGGCTTTGGATAAAGGGTGCTGAGTTACCCTTAATGAGACGAAGACGAGGAACTGTGACGATATTGAGATTGATCGTAGTGATCACCATGCTATTCATATGGCAGCTGCTAGGTTAAACAATACTGCGTTGAGCCAGCTCTTGCTGCTTGTCAGTCCACCAACAGCTGAGCGTCAAAGAACCCTTGTAATGAACCACCCTACGCACTCATCCTCGGCTTCGTGAGGAAGCCTCAGCACAAGACCCTCAAAGATAGAAAGCACGCAGGAGCGGCCTCCGCAAAGAAGAGGTCCACTCCGCCCCGGGCTCCACGTCCATGTCGGAGTCTTCCGAGCCTGATAAGAGTTTCGTCTAGGCCTGTCACCGGCCTTGGTGACTTAGTGCTTATATTGTTCATGTCCAGGGGCTCCGAGGGTTTAGAAGTTTAGGGTTCCGCGAGAGTGTCCTTCAAACATGCGGGTGCTGTACTGAGACTGGCTCAGGGTCCTTGAAAACTTCTCGCTCTTCGATGGCAGGTCATGTCAAAGTTGATAAACCAACGGTCTCAGGAGTTTGTAGGGAAAGGGGCGAGATGTCCGATGATGCCCCCGAAGTTTGAGGAGAAGGCATGCACCCACGCTCCGCCGAGAGCAGCTGAGGTTGAACTCATGGGGCACAGTGGCCTGGCATTCGATGCATTCTCGGCCCCCGAGTTAGGGCCCTTTCGGCTGCGATGAGCTTCAGATTTACAGTTACAGTTTAGGATTTCGCTTTCCCAAGACTAGGGCAAAGCTCAGTATCATGGGCGCAACATGGGCGCAAGCATCTCAACGGTGCAGCGCCTTCGTTGGGAGCTTGGTGTACACCGACGGCTTGTGAATGGCAGCATGGCAAGAGCGCTCGTTGCGAAGCCGCCCCTCCCGAAGCTCGTTACGCTTGGCATCGATGTACCTGGCACTGGAACGTTTCCCAGCCCAGAAAGTCACACAAAGCCCAGATCCACAGATGTTGCGAATCGTAGTCGTAGCATAGTGCAGAAACGGGGATCATCAAGGTCTAGTTCGTAAAGTGACAAGCCTGAAGCACCGGCAACAGATCCGGTTTGGGTGGTGGGACGTAATCATGGTTCACAGGGGGAGCTGCACCCTGGGGCTCCTGAAAACGTTGCCAGCCTGAACCCACAGAACGGGATCTATAGCCATCCTTTCCAAAAATAATCATGGGTCTCACATCGGGAATTGAACACCGGCACCGGCGGTTATCTGCAGCAGATGAATGAAAGCCACGGCCTCTTCTCAAGCTCCGCGCTGCTGGGCGCGAGGCCCTGAAAAAGTGTGCCGCGCTTTGTATCAAACAGAGGGACATGACAAAGTAGAGACGAGATAGATACGGCCAGGAATGTCAGACAAGACCTGAAGCGGCCTGGACTCTCGTTTGTTTTATACTGGGGTTGGACTAATCAACGTTATTCGGCCGCTTTTGGCCGTTTCTTTCCAGGAGGACAAGAAGTCTGCAACCCCTCGCCGGATGCCGACAAACATGGACGAGTCATAAAAATGAATAAAACCTCCGGACCTGGCTGTTTTGGGGTATACCTGCTCCTTTACGAGTTGTTTCCTTTCAAGCAGCAAGACTGGCCCCTGCCTACCTGCTATTATTCCAGCTTTAGACCGGTTCATCACCACCACCACCTCCACCACCACCAGTTCACACAGATGGCAGTTCCTTCACTCACCAGCAGCAAGGACACCCAAGGAAGTCGCATCCGCACCTTGTCTGCGCAGCGATTCACCTCACGCAGTGGCCGCCCTCGTGTGACTGCCGACTTCACCTGGAATGTGGGACATTTCAAGCTGGGGCTGGCTGTCAGACACCCCGGACCCTCCTGTAGGTTGCAACTCGACCTGAGAGCGCAAACGGCCGAAGCATCCTGGCACCTACATGGATGTTCATGGGTAGTTATAACCAGCTTGTATATAAGTAAGCTAACTATAACTCATAAGCCATGTTAAGGGACTTATAACCCCCACTTATAAATGGGTTATAAGTATAGTTACCCTACTTATAACCCTACTTATAACTTCCCATGAACCTCCTCGTACCCCCTGAGAGGAAAGCTCCAGACCTTGGCACCGGCAGGAACGGCATTCTCATCGGCGAAGGCCATCTTCGGACCTGACACCCGGGCCGACGGCCCCGTGCTGGGTTGCGGAAACCTTTACTATAACATAATGTTCAATGTAACAAACAGTACAGCATAAAACAACTCAACATCACATATAGCATCATATAATGCAATGTGATATAAGATAATGTGATATAAGTACAAATGCGAATATGAATATGAACATAGATATAAATGCAAATGCAAAAACAAATACTATAGGTGGCACAAAGGGAGCCCAAAACATTGGAAAAAAAACAATAAAAATTACACATAAGATGTCCACCAAAACATTGGGACAACCAATAAAAATTGCACACGAAAAGCCCAAACATTGGAAAACAACAATAGAATTGCACACCGGGAGCCCAAACATTGGAAACAATAAGAATAAAAGTGGCACATAGGGTGGTCACAACATTGGAAACCCAATAAAATGGCACACAAGGAGCCCAAAACTCCGGAAAAAAAACAGTAGAAACAGCGCGCGCGCGCGCGCGCGCCCGCGGAATCCGAATCATGGGCAAGTCCTACACAGCGGTAACTTAATTTGATGAGTGCTTACGATGTATTATGCACATGCACATACTTTGAGCTGGAAACAGCTTAGCACCAATGTACTTGTACATACGGTTTTCTGTTTGTCAGATTTGGAGCTGAAAGCTGTGGTCAGCCATCAAGTTCCTGAGTGCCATGTCTTCTTTGGATGTCGCAGTATAGGGCCATTGAGCCCCCCTGGCCGATGTGGTGAAGGCAGGAAAGGCAGTAAAAGGGTAGGTACATTGGGGGGGGAGGAGCACCCCAAATATATATATATATATCTATACATATATATATATACATATAACATGCATCTACACATATATATATATATACATATAACATGCATCTACACATACGATTATAATAAGGGTTTTCTTGATTTTCCCGTGCCTTGACCGAGCCGGGTCGCGGTCGGACGAGGATGGCACAAGCTCAACGGCCGCTGAGCCAGCGCAGCCAGGCCGGGACTTCGTAAGGTCTCTGCATAATGACATGTGTATATATATATATAATTATCATATACTGACTTCTATGATATGACAAGCTGATATAATATAACATAACAGAATATGGCGCGATCGGGTCCGGCAGGTACAATTTACTACGTTAGTGAAATTGCCTCCGACGGTGCCCTCAAACCATGGACGAGTCATGGGTAGTTTTAAGTGGTGTCATATGTCCCCTAATATGGGTTACAGGCATAGTTACCCTATTTATAACCCTATTTATAACTACCCATGAACCCCCAAGTGGAGTGCCGACACGCCCGAGGCAAGGCGCTCCGGTTCAAGGTTCTGGTCAGACCGGCTTAGGGCTTGCAGGGTTTCGGGTTTAGAGGTTTAGAGGTTTAGAGGTCTAGGATTTGTAGGGATTCAGGGTTTAAGGGTTTTGTAGGGTTTAGGGTTTAGGGTTTAGGTTTTAGTAGAGGTTTAGAGGTTCAGGGTTTAGGGTTTGTAGGGTTTAGAGTTTAGAGGTTTAGAGGTCTAGGGTTTAGGGTTTGTAGGGTTTAGGGTTCAGGCGGAAGGTTCTGACAGTCTCTCCCTCCTTTCCCTGGGCGTGTTTTTGCCAGCGCAGGCATCGGAGGCATCGGAAGCATCCATCTTGGATTCGGGTAGGGCTTGCCATGGTCCTGTCCTTCAGTGTTCACCATCGAGGACACTAGCGGCCAACTCAACCGAAGTTGTCGGGATGGCCCCTGCTTTTGAGATCGGAACATCTGCAAAAAAATGAAACTAAAGAGATTATCATCTATCCTTGGTTCTACAAAAATGACCGGCGCCCTTCCTGATCTGCCACAAAAATGCAGGCAGCAGCAGGCATCGCGAGGTTTACAATCAGAGCCTGACTGCCAGCTGCTTGTCTAGGTCGCATACTTCTGAACCCACTCACGCGCGGTGGTGTCGTGCTTTGCACGGTCCTTCAAGTAGACCTCGTTGAAAGGCGCATCTACGGGCTGCTCAGTGCAATGTGTGTGTGTGTATATATAT